ATATATACACACACACACACACACACACACACACACACACACACACACACTTTTAATGTGGTTTAAGTTAGCCTTAGAATGGACCATAGATTTTAACTAATCCAATTCCATAAACTAAGACTCAGAGAGGTTATATGATTTATGTAAGAACACGTAAAATAGTGAAAATAGCCCTAGATCTGGAGGTTTAGCTCTGCCACTATGTCAGGATGATTTCTAATGTATGAAATACTCGTGCAAGTAAATTTAAATTACTTTATAAGTTAAAAGCCTTCTTACCAAAAAATAAAGAAGAAAACTTAATTTTTAAGTCCTTACTAGTGCCAGGCCCTGTGATAAAGTGTGTGTGTATAACATTTCTCATTTAAAACCTCCTGAAGCCTCTATGAGATAGGTAGTATTATTTTATGGATGGAAACATGGGCACAGAGAATTAGGTCACTAGCTAGAAATAAGGCAGCTAATAAGTGACAGAGTTATTTGAACGCAGTCTAATTTCAGAACCTATACTTTTTCTTAAACACTTAGCTATACTCCTCTTTTAAATAAAGTATCTGTATACTCTTTTACCACAGATAATAGCATGGGGAATTTTGATATGTAAAACAATTCAATTAGTTCACAATTTTAGTAATTTGGTACATCTGATTCACAAGCTTATAAACAGAAGATGAAAGAACTCAGTCGACAAACACCTAGAGAAAGAGAGCACATAAAGGCTGCTTCATTTCTCCTTTAATAAGATTCCAAATGCCACAGATAGGAGAAAATAGCCAAAATGGAATGTCCCTGACTTTATCCTTCAAAAAGGGTAAGGTGGGTCTTTAAGAAGCAAAGAATAAAATGGTCAATAGGAAAAGAGAAGATTACTTTATCACAATTAGCTTGGCTGCTAAATATTAACATTTACGAGGGTCCACAGTTGACTATTTTATCTAAATACACAATGACCCACCCTGGACTGATGGCTTCTTCAGGAACACTGAGAGATTGTAAGATACAGGAATCCTGATAATCTTGCATTCTTCGAGCATCCATTATAATCAAGCTGACGTTTTTATCCATCATCATTGTGTATAGTTCCTTTGCTGTGACTGATCCTTGGAATTGAGAGAGACAGTATAAGTGACAAGAAACACCAAGTTGCATGTGCTTGCATATCACTAAACACAGGACAAATAGCTTTTCCTAAAAGAGCAAAGTATACTGAGCATCATATAGTTGCTATTCCATCATACCATTTATCTTTTAAACTAATATTAAATATAATTTGTGTTTTAAACATTTATCAAGAAACCAGTTCAGTGTTCTGTTTAGAAAGACTTAAATATCGTGGGCCAGGTACAGTGGCTCACACCTGTAATCCCAGCACTTTGGGAGACCGAGGCGGATCACTTCAGGCCAGGAGTTTGAGACAAGCCTGGGCAACATAGGGGGACTCTGTTTCTACAAAAAAAATTTTAATAGACAGGTGTGGTGGCAAGTGCCTGTCGTCTCAGCTACTTGGATGGCTGAGGCTGCTTGAGCCCAGCAGTTCGAGGCTGCAGTGAGCTATAATCCCACCACTGCACTTCGGCCTGGGTGACGGAGCGAGACCATGTCTCAAAATAAAGAAAGAAATAAGACAAAGACTTAAATATCAAACTTTGCTATTGAGGTTACAACTATATCTGGTGTTGGCTCTGTTGCTGGTATAAAGGAAATCAATATGTGTATGTTATGAGAATTGTCTGTTTTCTGTTTTATTAAATTAGGACATCTGAAAAATGTTAACTGGAAGAAACATCTATGGTTCAAAAATTCTCAAAAGGTCCTAAATTCTCTTTAAAAAGTCTTTGATGGGGTCTTCTGGAAGCCATTTGAAAAACTTTTTGATTTCCAAGTATTCCTAGAGTAACAAGCCAAAAGCTTGTTATTTGTGTCCCACATCAGGGGTTGACAAACTATGACCTGTTTCTACTGGGACACAGCCACATTCACCTGTTTACACATCATCTGTGGTTGCTTTCATGTTGCAGCAGCAAAATTCAGTAGTTGCTTCCAAGACCACAGGGTACTCTGAGCCTAAAATATTTACTATCTAGCCCTTTAAGAAAAAGTTTGCCAATCCTCATTCTACTTGATGTTCATTTGTTAGCTCCAAGCCAGAAAGAAAAAAGGCTATTTTATTTTTTAAGAAGGCTAATAAAAAGAAAAAAGTAAGTAAAGCTAATGTAATTTTTAATTTATTTTTTGAAGGGGACGCAATCTTCCAAAATAAAACATTTCCTATGTTGCTATTTTTCCTCAGCTCTACAGCCTGCAGTGAAAGATTAAAAAGCACTACAAGAGTTTAGATATATGAAGAACTATTTCAGCAGTGAGCTGTGAAAAGAAGGTAGTCTCTAGCTCCTAAGCTAAAATGCTTACAGCTGCTAATAACCATCCCACTTCCCTCTTTAACCAGCAAGATCATTTTGACAACACAACAGACTAACAAGTTGAGAACAAACCACTGAGAAGGATAACATCTAGGCATAATGAGATACAAAGGAACAAATGGATAAAAACTAATTTTGGAATGAACTGATAACGGGTTTTAGGAAGGTACCTTACAGTACTCAGTTTATTTTTAAAATTGTTGTATGGCAATATCTTAAGTCGAGAATTTATTTTAGTGTTACATATAATTATGTATAATTTAAATCTTATCTGAGACAGAGAAAACTTCTCTAGTAGATGAAGGCAATTTCCTAAGTCTTGTTGTTTAGGTCACATATTTGTGACTAGAACATCAACACCACCTATGGATAACTTTCACATTACTAATTTGGATTTTTTTTTACTGGGGGGCCAGAGGCCTCTTAAATAATTAAGTCTACAGCCCAGGGTCATAAATGATAATAGTTAATAATTAAAGTTTACCATGTGTTCTAAGAGTTTTACATATATTAACTCATTCAATCCTCACAATAACTCTATGAAATAGGTACTATTATAATATTATCTCCACTTTACACACAGAGAAACTAAAGTAGAGAGTTTAAGTAATATGCTCCAGATCACATGGAAATTCAGAGGAGGAGCCAGTATTCAAAAGCCCAGGCAGTCTGACGTCTGAAAGTCGTCAGACTTTTTTTTTTTTATTTT